AACATTATTTATTAAAATGCAAGGTTACTTGAGTCAGAAACAATGAAAACAATAACCTTTTCTTGAGGTGTTTGCGATGAGGCTTCATGTGCGCGGTGCTTTGGATGTGACCGTGAGCGCCCAGAAATCTAGTTTGGAGCGCGCCAGTACCGAATAGTTTAAAAAGACTTAAAAAGACGTGCAAATGATAAACGTTTGTGATGATGCAACACTGACCCGATTAGGCAAGTGACAGTTCTGTCAGCTGAGCTAAAGTCTTGTATGGAAGCGTGCAGCATTTCTCTTAGTGCAGACGAGATGCGCTGATGTGAGGCAATTTTGAGAGAGTGAGAGCGAGAAGACGCGGTACAGCTGAACCACTCTCACTATTTTCAAATGACTGACAATCTGATGTTCTGTGTGAATTTTTTTTTACTCATCTAACCTACATTGTTTATTAAATAAATGTTTGCGGGAATTTTCCAAACGTGCGAAACCTGCGAAAATGAGTAAAACCAAAATGCACAATCCCGCACCGAGATTCAGGATGTGATTAAACATATATTCTGTTATATAGAGATTTATAAAATAAATTCCCACGACTTTTCCAAATCTTTCTAAGGTTTTCATGACCGTACGAACCCTGTAAATGGCTATTTTTATTTTTTTAAATCGTTTTGATGAAACTTCTGCTCCACTTTGTGTGGAGGTAGTGAGACGGGACAAAGTCCCTGTAAAATATTAGGTTATTCTATAGTCTTTGGAGAGGAGAGAGCGCTCAAAACTCTTCAGATTAATTTAGTGGAACATTAATATAATATAGAATCATCCTCTGTAAAGAAGTGAGGCGTGAACATGAGAGAATGTATCATTATCTTTCTAAATGTGCGCTCTTTTGGGCTAAAGGCTTAATTGAACCGTTTAAAGTAGGCTAGCCATGTGATGAGTAATGAATCGGCGATTCGGCGCAGTGCAGACGTGATTTAATACGCGTGTCCTTTTTCTATGTGAAAAAAATCATAAATTCCAGTTTATGCTGTTTGGTTATGGCTTCGAAGGTCGTAGTTGGAAGCTGTTAGCCCCGGCTGGCCCGTGTGCGCAGTTGAAATGCGGCTAATAATTTCTGACTGGCACATAACTGAACAAATGTAAACGGGTTAAGGCGGGGCCCCCTACAAGGCGGGGCCCCTGGGCTGCAGCCCATTCAAGCCCAATGGTAAGTCCGGCCGTGTGTGTGTGTGTGTGTGTGTGTGTGTGTGTGTAATAAAGTTGTCTAAATATAACAAAATCCCCCTGTGGATGTTTGAGAATGTTCTCTTTTGGGAAAACAATTAAAATATATATTTGGTATTTAGTAGTTGATTAGTAACTGTTCTGTTTGTGGTGGGAGAGTTATAAAGAGGCTCCTCCAGTGTCACTGCACACATATCCAACTTCCTGTTTTAAGAATACAACATCAGCCATCGTGATGTTTGCTACCATGGCAGTAGATCATCTGTTTGCATCCTTCATCCTTCTCCTTATCTCAAACACAGGTAATAAACTCAATTAATGAATGTATGTACAACAATTAAAATTTCTAATACTATGTTTTGTCATTTTCTAGTGCTTTATGTATGATGATGTTTGTAAAAAGCAATTACATTTAGTTTGCCGTAGTTCAACATCTCATTAAGGCTATTTTATTTGTAATTATTAGAATTATTAGTTATTTTTGTTATATATTATGAATCACATATCACAGAAACATGTATTTTATATCCATGCATTGATTCATTGTCTCGTGGTCTAGAGAGACCACACACCTCCATGTATTTCTATATGTGTTAATATATTAACTATAAAAAGAATGAACTGAATGGCAATGTTAATGTGAGATGACATGATATAATTATGCAAGGGAAAAATACTTTTATTGCTTATGAACTCATTGTGGTTTATTTATTTATCCAAATAGGTGTATATTGTGTGACATGGGATGAGATGGAGGTGTAAAATGTTCTGAACTGTGTTTCTCTCTCCTCAGGGTTCAGTGCTGAGATCTCTGTGTTTGTTCAGATGGGAGATTCTGTTCAACTGGATATACAGACACAAGAACTACCAGAGTTTGATGATTTATCCTGGAAAAAAATTAAATCAGAGAATATAGTTAAATATACAAGTGAAACTAAAAGAGTAAGACTTCTCTCTTCCTACAAGGACAGAGTAGATTTCAATAATAAAACCTTCTCTCTGACTCTGAAGAACATGCAGAAGACAGACAGTGGGCTCTACACAGCAATAGCAAGTGCAGAATCAGACAACAACATTGTTACATACAGAGTATCTGTTATAGGTGAGTCTCATTTCTTTGTGTGATTTCATGTGTTCCTGCATAACAGACAATTCATAAGCATAATTGTTAATTTTTTTGTGTGTTTTATTTACAATGTAACCAGCTTGTGCATATTATCTTTATTTTAGGATTTTGTCTGCTTCTGCAAAAACTGAAAAATCTGAAGAAAAAAAAAATGTTGCTCATATAATATTCTATGTTTATAATGTGTGATGTGTTTAGACGTGAATGTCTACTGCACCACTGCTGTGAATGTGATCGTGATCTTGCAGTAAATGTGTGTTTCAGACGCTGTGGAGGCTCCTGTCCTGACTGAACTCAAACTGGTTCAGTGGTAACTTCTGTACTGTGAGCTTCACATGCAGAGCTCATGAGCTCATGATTGACTCTAGCTATCAGAACAACAGCTGCTCTCCAGAGGAAGTGACATCACAGATCAACACTCTCATCCTGGACTGCAGTGAAGAGTCCATCATCTGTAACCATAGCAACCCTGTCAGCTGGAAAGAAGACAGAATAAACATCACACAGCTCTGTGAAGGTAAATATCTGTTTCAAGATCAATAACTAGTCTTTATCTCACAACTCAAATCTCTGTTGGTCTTGGTTTACACACTGCAAGCTGCATTTTCTAATTATTTATTAAGTAACTTACTATGAATAAACTGATTATTACGGTTCTTCTTTTTTACTTTCCAGAGGATGAAAGATTCCAACTCTCCTACAGTTCATCTTACATGGCTGTGCTCATTATTGTGTGTGTTGTTGTGGGAGTGATAGTGTTTGCTGGTTTGGTCCTTTACTGTTGCTGCAAGAATAAAACAGGTTTGCCTTCTCAAATAAATGATCTCATATTTAAAACTGAAACAGTTTCTGTAGTACTAAAAGAATTAGTACTAAATGACTAAATGAATGTCTCACCTTATGTTATAGATTTAGGTTTATAATTAATTTTCCATTGGGTGCACAACTTAACTATGAAATTTAAATGCACAAAATGATCTTGTTGCAACATAAATTTATTTTCAGATCTTTGCTTGTGTTCTAACTGAAATAATGATTTTACTGTTGGCAACAAATACTCAACTCATAATTTCAAATTTCATACACTGTTTTACAGTCGGACTAATAGGTTCCATTTGACTCTATAAATTCCACAGAGACTCTTCAAAACAAACTGTCTAACATACACTTATAGTAATATTCAATTATTATTAATATTATAGTAACATTATAATATTATAGTAATATTAAATATTTAACAATATTAAACTTCTAGACTATCAGTCAGTTAAATGAGCGAAATCTCACCTTTTTAAGTATAAAATATGACAAGAATCAAACACAAACAAACATGTTTCCACACAACCTGTAATCTGTGCACTAAACCTACATTCTGACCTCTCAGGTGTCAAACAGGCTAAAGATACAGACTACGATGATGTTGAGGTGAGATTCAAATGACTGTTCATCTCTATTCCTGCAGACGTCAGATCTCAATACAAACTCAATACTGAATATTAACTGTTTCACTTGACAGTCTGTGATGGGTTGTTTTATTTCTCTTCAGACTCTGACCCAGAAGATGACAGGAGATACATGGACCACTGTTACCTACTGTACCATAGGACAACACCAAACACCTTCATCTGCTCAGGACTGCTGAAGACTCACAAACAGAACTTAAAGCCTTAATTTAGCTTCCTGACTTAATGATTCTTGTGGAAGTGTACAGACACTATTTCTATTGTGAGTCCAATGAACTTCAGACAGTCACTGCAGATGTTATAAATGAGTCCTTCACTGCTTCTCGCATGTAATTTAAATATAGTTTCAAGTAATCATACTCTGTTTTTTTATATGTGCTTTTGTGCTTTCGATTTTCCTTTCTTGACCAGGTTTCTGTTGAACAAGAGATTTTAAAATGTGAAATTTTCTTGAAAATGTGAAGTGGCTCACAGTTCACTCATTACTTATGTTTTTGTAAAACAATTTACACCAAATGACAAAAAAGCAATCAAAAGTCCAAATATTTGACAAAAAGTAGAAAAAACTGTTTATTGATCAATTTAACAACCTATTAATTAAACTATTAATAGTACACTACACTCCTCACAATTCAACCAACCAGACCGTGCCACCTTGGAGTAAAGTTACGACATGTACAGCGAAACCTGAACAGAAAGTGAGTCATCCATCACATGATTTTCTGAATACAAAACCAGTCTTGATACACGGCTTCATTGCACTGCGTACTTGATAAAAACTTTGAAGCCTCTGTGTTATATGTAACACCACTATCCCATCTTCCATGTCTCCTTGAAAGTTCTTTCTGCATGTGTTCAACTGAGGAATGATGATGCATTGTATAAGTAGCATAAGTAGTTTTCTCTGTCTGTTCCTCCTCCTTCAGAATCCACACACAGCTATATATATATATATATATATATATATATATATTTTATTTTTATTTATTTTTTTTTTTTTACCTGGTTCAAATTAAAGACTTGATCTCAACTACATGTATGTAAGGAGCTTTTAAAAGCAATAAATCAAATCTAACTATTAACTGTTAAAATGCTGAATTCATTGTCTGTGGTCGGAAGAAGCTAACCGAGTGTCAGTTTACCCATATACAACTTCCTTTTCTAAAACAGCAACACCAGTCATTCTGATGTTTGTTACAATGGCAGTAGATCCTCTGCTTCCATCCTTCATCCTTCTCTTCGTCAGTAACACAGGTAATAAACTCAATTAAATGATTAATTCAGTTAGTTATTAATGATTATCTTTATGATGATTGCTGCACAGGTCAGAGTTTACATGGTTTTGAAAATTTAACTCGATAGTGTGTCTCATGTAACAATAGTAATTGCTAAGACTAAGTTTTGCCATTATTTAATGCTTTATAATCATATAAAGTCATTATCAATCTGCCATAGTTGTGTGTCTCAGGTTGTCTGATAGTTGTCTCAAGCAGAGTATCTGCACATTTACATTTATTCATCCAGCAGATGTTTTCATCCAGATGCTTTTATTCATTATATAGAGGCAATACTAAAATAAAGTTTCAAACATCGTCTAGAAGAAACAGGCTAGAACAGTGATTAGTCTCTAACACTAGTTTTAGAGAATAATTTCTGTTACATTAGAGAATGGAAGACAAAATGTTTATCTGACTACTGTTTCTTGAAACACTGTTTGGGAAGTAAAGCACAAAGTGCTACTAGAGCTATAGAGATTTTATAAAGTCATAAAATTCATATAAAATCAATTAAATTTTGAGTTACTTTGGTTATACTGCATGAACCATGTATCATAGAGATTTTATATGCATAATCGAGGGGTGAGAACCAGAAGGGTGTAAGTGACATTTTGGGTGAAATGGCGATATATATATCGAACGAAAGCTCTTGATGAGCTCTTTCTACTGCCAAAAGGACACAAGTGAATTCATAATATTTTTGGAGTTATTCATTAGAAACCAAAAGACTTAACACTGAAAATACTAAGCCAGTTGGTGCCAAAAGGGCGTAACTGCACTTACACCACTTTGACATTGAGAAATGTATGGAGGGCAAAGCCTGTGGATAGCACATGAGTCAAAATGACTGACAAAACAAATAAGTGTGGTAGGTCAACATGAGAAGACAGCAGTTTTTAACTACTGAAGATGTATTATTAAGCTTATTTTGTGACAAAGAGCTGGATGATGATGGAGAAAATTAAAATATCCAGCATTCAATGTTGTGAGGTGTAGCTAGCTAGCAGGTAGTAACCAATAACTTACATTCTAATGGCATATCATACAGGCACTCGGTTACTGCTTAGCCACAAGAGAGAGAATGCATAGAAGGGATTATAATTATTATTGTTACTAATAATTAGTTATGCAATTCATTACTTCAGTATCATTCAGTTAATGATATTTGCTATCATATTTTTTTATTACAAACCCTAGTAAAATAGTAATATACTGTATTGAAAATACATTATTTCATACTAGTTCAAATCTATTAACATTTTATTTGCTTTATTTATTGTCTATTTACTGACATATCACTCTATACTTATATAAATATAAAAATTATAATTAAACTTTATTTGGAGTACTACTTGTGCACAATGGACATTTCTCCATATTAAGCCAAAAATGTGTTTTAATGTCACTATTGATGAGGATTGTATGATCTTTGAATAATATTTAAATGCAAGATATTTAAAGTGTACCTAAAATATACTTGCAATAGTTCCACTTTCAACACAATCAAATATAGTTCAGTATATCTTAAGTTGGACCTCAGCAATGCTTTCTTACAATTAAAGTGCATCAAGTACAAAATTAGTCGTTCCAATTTAGCAGACTTTAAGTATACCAGTTTAGTAATATGCAAATGTATTTGTAGTATACTTAGCATGAAATATATGTATTTCAAATTCATTTTGGCTGGGTAAACTATGGTAAATTTTAGTTTTGGCCCTCCTGTAAAGTTGGGGAAATGTCACTTATGCCCTTCTGGTCCTCACCCCTCGTAATGCAATCTACAATAGTGCATATACATGTGCTGTTTATTCTTCATGTAGTCTGGAGTGTCATATAGTGCCAAAAATCAGCAAACACGCATTTAACTTTTTTTTCAGAATGGCTGCCAGTGGACAATAAAAATGTAGGTTGTTGTCTGTTTGACTAAAATAGCTTTAACTCCAGAATGGAATCAGTCATTTGATGAAATTTGATACATGAATGTAAAGCTTCACTTCGACACTCTTAACAAAACTATAAAAATGATAAACCACTATGTGACATGTATGTATGCAATGTCTTTGACCAAGGACATTTATTTTACTGTGAGTACAGCCCTAACGCATTGCTAAAATAATGATACATATGATTTATGTCACCAGATACAGGAATGTGAGATAATGACAAGGGATGAGATGGAAGTGTAAAATGTTCTGAACTGTGTGTTTCTCTCTCCTCAGGGTTCAGTGCTGAGATCTCTGTGTTTGTGCAGACGGGAGCTTCTGTTCAACTGGATATACAGACACAAGAACTACCAGAGTTTGATGATTTATACTGGAAAAATGATAAATCAGAGAATATAGTTAAATATACAAGTGAATCTAAAAAAGAAAAACGTTACTCTTCCTACAAGGACAGAATGGATTTCAATAATAAAACCTTCTCTCTGACTCTGAAGAACATGCAGAAGACAGACAGTGGACTCTACACAGCAATAGTAGCTGCAGAATCAGACAACAACATTGTTACATACAGAGTATCTGTTATAGGTGAGTCTCATTTCTTTGTGTGATTTAATGTGTTCCTGCATAACAGACAATTCATTGGAGTAGTTTGTTACATTTTTCACTTTTATATTTAAACCAGCTTGTGGCACTTTTTTTGGCGATTTTAACCTTTCACATAGAGAATGCAGATAAATAACATGGTTAAAGAAATATTTTTGGATCATGTTTATACTTTGCATTGTGTTTAGATTTTAATGTACAGTAGACAGCATCTCTGTTGTCTTTATTTAACAAAAGAAATGTTTATACTTTTTTTTTTTAAATCACTGGGCTGTGAAACTGTGAATGTGTTTCTGATTTTGGTTTAAATGTGTGTTTCAGATGCTGTGGAGGCTCCTGTCCTGACTGTGAACTCAAGCGGATCTAGTGATTCCTGTACTGTCAGTTTTACATGTAGAGGTCATGACTTCACACTCAGCTCCACTTTTGTATATGGCAGCTGCTCACGAGAGGAAGTGACATCACAGATCAACACTCTCATCCTGTTCTGCAGTGTGGAAGCCATCATCTGTAACCATAGCAACCCTGTCAGCTGGAAAGAAGACAGAATAAACATCACACAGCTCTGTGAAGGTAAATATCTTCTTCAACATCAATAACTAGTCTTTATCTCACAACTCAAATCTCTGTTCTTAGTTTACACACTGCAAGCTGCATTTTCTCTAATGATTTTTTACAACGATGATTGTTATATGACTAAACTTATATATGAATAGACTGATTATTGCAGTTCTTCATATTTTACTTTCCAGAGAATGAAATAACACAAATGACGACAAACTCCTACGGTTCATCTTACATGACTGGGCTGATTATTGTGTTTGGTATTGTGGGAGTGATATTGTTTGCTGGTTTGATTCTTTACTGTTACTGCAAAAATAAAAAAGGTATGTCCATCTCATAAATACTGAAAAACTCATATTTCTTTAGTACTTTCTTTAGTACTTTAGTATTTTGGAATATGAAAATGAATGTGGGGTAAAATTAGCTACAAGGTTTATATTGAAAAACAGCACACACGGTAATGTAACACAGCCTAAAATTCGATTGGTCAATGGGATATTAAACCCAGATACATCATTTGTCTAGTTTTATCTCATTGTCCTTCTGAGCACAACATAAAGACTCCTTGCAATTGTTTCAAAAGAGATTTTTAAAAAATCTGAAAAAAAAAAGACCTTTTTGAGTCTTAAATCTGACAGAAATCAAATGCAAACAAACATGTTTCCACACAACCTGTACTCTGTGCACTAAACCTACATTCTGACCTCTCAGGTGTCAAACAGGCTAAAGATACAGACTACGATGATGTTGAGGTGAGATTCAAATTACTGTTCATCTCCATTCCTGCAGATGTCAGATAATAAATGTCAAACTCAGTACTGAATATTTACTGTGAATATTTACTATTTACATGACATTCTGTGACGGTTTGTTTTATTTCTTTTCAGACTCTGACCCAGAAGATGACAGGAGATACATGGACCACTGTTACCTACCGTACAGTAGGACAGTAGTACCTTCATCTGCTCATCATGACTGCTGAAGCTCAGACTGAACTGAGTTAAAAACACTTTGATGATTAACTGGACTCACAAATGGAGCTTCAACTCTAAATCTAGCTTACTTAATGACTCTTGTTGGAAATTTACAGGCTCTCTTCAGTCAGTTATTGCAGAATGCTTTAGTAATGTAGTCATGCACATTGTGTTTTTATGCTATTTGAATTTTCCTTTCTTGGCCAGGATTTTCTTGAACAAGAAAATTTAAATGTAGTATTAAAAAAAAACTCTCCCCTGGATAAGTACAGGTTATATTTTATAATACTTTACAATAAACTTGTTCTCTTATGAGCTCTGTGATAACTGAAGAATTCATGCCATCTTTACTACCGTGTTCACTAGTTTCTTCGAATTGCCTTCAACAGATTTTTTTTTTAAAAGTCAGATAGTGTTAGTGTAGTTACATCATCTACCAGCAGGGGCTCGCTAACTAGATGAACATAGAGCCATTGGTGTGAACCCTTAAAAGTGAATCCCATCTGTGCTTTTTTTACTAGTATAACCAGTTCTTTTCACAGAATGCTTGTACATGTTGTATTTGTCCAGTCTGTGTAGTTTATTGTTGGGTGCTGGGATGTTTTCTGTGATTGGTTTAATTTTTCATAGTTTCTAGTCTCATCTATATGCAGGAACTGTTTCTCAAAGAAACATTTGATATCTGACTTGTTATAAAGAGACTTTGTCAATGTAACTTGTTAAGATGAAGCAGTAAACACTTTTACTTATTTGCGTGCTTGGGTTGGTTTGGGGTGTCCCCTCGGTAGAAATCGCGCTCTGGGGGGGACGTAGATCAGACCTAAAGGGCACTTTAGCGTCGACTTGAGCCCCCCACCTTTTGCACACCACTGAACACAGGTAATAAACTCAAATCTGAAAAAAACTGAAAGTCTGTTTCTATGTTTGGTTATTTTCTAGTGCTATCTATAATGTGGTTTGTATAAAGCAGGGTTCCTCAATTAGTTTTCGCCGAGGGACGATAAAAAGTATCTTTTCCATGTAGTTTTTGTCCTAACCACCCACAACAGCGACACGTGACAATAAGATCGCAGACTTATAAATGCATTACCGCCACCTATCTCTCAAACGGACCATTGACACTCCTAATTGAGATTGTAGATAGAGTGTCAATGGTCCATTTGAGAGATAGGTGGCGGTAATGCACTTATAAGTCTGCGATCCGCCGTAAAGCAAGAAGAAGAAGAAGATGCGTCAGGCGCCGGCTGTTGATTGCGCTCAGGACAGTTCGGACATTGTGGTGAAAATCAGAGGTAAAAAAACTATATAAATACTGTTCAGTTTCTTGCACAGACCGATCGTTTTGTCTTTACACATAAATGTATCATCACGAGCCACAGGGTTTAATTTGGTTTTGTGTATGTTTTTTTGACTCTTAAAGCCGTGATTCCCATTCACTTACATTATATGACTGACAGACTGCAACGGTTTGAGTTAAAAAATCTTCGTTTGTGTTCTACTGAAGAAACAATCACCTACATCTTGGATGCCCTGGGGGTAAGCAGATAAACATCAAATTTACATTTTTGGGTGAACTATCCCTTTAAGTCTTCGCCAGTTGTTGATTTAACATGACACACTTTGATGAAACGCTCCTTTATTTGCATGTCATGGACAAACCGGACCACAAAGGATACTTGCTCTGAGTGTGACACATCAGTAGTTTCATCCAAAAGAACTGAAAATATATTGGCCTCATTAATCTCTTTCAGAATTACATTCCTCACTTGTGTTCCAAAAGATTGTATAACGTAATTTTGGGTCCTGTTGGATAAACGTGTCACCTGTGGCTTCTTCTTTTAGGACTGAGTGATCTGTATACACTCAAGAAGCATTCTGAGGACACTGTCATATTTCGCTAAGAGGTGCACAAGCTCAAGGAAGTTTGAACTGGTGCTACTTTCATCATGTCCCCTAAATCCAAGTCCTTGTCTTGCCAAATATACTGTGATGTCTATTATAAGCAAAACAATATTTCTGTTTTTCTGTCTTTCTTTTTCATTTTGTAACTCACATTCTGCAGCCTGAGCTTTAAAAGCTTCAACTAAAGGCCCTTTTCTATAGTTGGCCCACCTCACTATACTGATTATGGGCTTCAGTGGATCCATGCTCATGAATCTTTTCAACCGCCTTCCTCCAGTTGACAACTCCAGTTGTTCTCCACGCTCTCCTGGCTTTAAACTTTTCTTCTGTCAAAAAGAGACGACAACTAAAGCAGTACATTTCATCTTTTTCCACAGAATACTCCAGCCAGTTGTTACCAGCATACCACTGGCTCTGAAAAGACCATCCTTGTGGATTTTTTGGAAAGCCAGCTACTTGTTGACATGGCCCAAGAGAGCAGCAGAACTGTATGTAGTTCCTATTAACCTTTATTTTAAGCTAATCAACATGAGCTGGGTCTGTTGGAAACTGAAGGGCCATCAAGTATGGATCAGTGTCTGGTGCTTTTGTACCCTGAACCTGGTATTCAATATCTGCTTCTGTAGCTCCTTCCTCTGTCATCTCTCTATCCTTTTCTTGAATCATCTCTTCCTCGCTGGGCCTAATGTCTCCTTGTATTTTCTCAATTATATCTCACTTTCTTCCTAATTGGCGCTATCCTTCATCTTTCTTTCTTGTCTCAAATGCTTTCACTTGAATCTCTTCAATACTCTCCTTATCTGAACTGCAACTCTCTATGAAAAACAAATTTCATTATTTTTATATTAAAGTGATGGTTTGCCCCAAAATGAACATTCTTTCTTCTGTGGAACATAAATTTGATTACATATTAATTTTGTCTATATAATGGCGTCCCCATTTCTGTTAATTTTGTTCCCCACTGGCTTTCAATAACAAAACAATTCTTAAAAATATTACAAAGAAGAAAGTCATACAGGTTTGGAACTGCATATAGGTGAGTAAATGACGATAGAATTATCAAGTTTTGTGAATTTTTCCTTTAACAAAAACTTCTTATTGCTCTTAAGTGTTCACTATTTTCAGTGTTGGGGAGTTACTGGTTGCATGTAACGGAATTACGTAATTTAATTACAAAATAAATGTAATTGTAATCAGTTACAGTTACTGAGAAAAATATGTAATTAAATTAGTTACTTATGAGAATGTTAACGATTACAAAGGGGTTTGCATCTGAATTTGTTCACACACTCACACACACAAACAAATTAAAATAGTGCAACCTATTTTATGGACTGTAATATAAGTATAACAGCTTATTAGCTTAAGAAATTGAAACAGTACCTTTATCTTTATTCTCTCTCCTCAGCCAACTTGTGAGAGGGATGCTGCCTTTGGCTACATCAGAGAGATCCTTTTATATAATGTTTTTTTTCTTTTTATCTTTTCTTTCCTTGGCATTCTATGAAAGACGTTGATAGTAATAGAATGCATAACACATCAAACAAAAATAGAGAGATGATGATATTACTAAATATTATTAACTTTTACTTTACCAAACTAAACAGTGAGAATCAAGTTAGTCATGTTGAATTCATGTTTAGTTTTGTTGATATTGTAAACTTTGCTTGGCCTTGGATAAAAACAAATGAAATGTCAATGTCAGAAATGTGGCAGCAATCAAGTTACACCTTTATTATAATTAAGCATAACTCGCATGCTCCCGCATTCGCTACGTTTACAACAGCTTTATGGTAGGATAAATGTAAATTTTCTATGTTACCTGTCGCAGTTAAGAGTGGCCTACCACTCCACTTCCGCCTAATATGTCCACCAAAATACTCATTATCAATTAATTACAAGTTTGTTCAAAATATTTTATTTTGTATTTATTATTATTGTTAGTGGCAAATGGTATTTTTTATTATTATTATTGTTGTTATTTACTTTGAGAAGAAAGGGGCACTTTACACTTCGAGACAAAAGGGGCAGGGTTGTTAAGTGACATGACATGTGTGGTTACTAGGAATTAGTGCTCTCCATCCAAAGTGCACACACACACAGCAGTGAACACACACACACACGGAGCAGTCATTTATGCTGCGGCACCCGGGGAGCATTTGGGGGTTCGGTGCCTTGCTCAAGGGCACCTCAGCCTTGGTATTGAAGGTGGAAGAGAGTGCTGTACATTCACTCCCCCCACCTACAATCCATGCCGGACCTGAGACTCAAACTCACAACCTTTGGGTTATGAGTCCAACTCTCTAACCATTAGGCCACGACTTCTCCTTGTTGATTTCCACTTTGAAAGGGAACTTCTTAGGATACAACTGTAACCCTGGTTCTCCGAGAAGGGGAACAAGACAGTGTCTCATTGCCATGCCATTGGGAGTGCCTGCACATCTCCTTCAGACAAAGAAGTTGTTGACATGTATTACGGGATCCCTCTTTTAATTCTGGGCATTCCACCTATGGTGTCAGGGACTGTCGCAGGTTTTCACATACCTTTAGACATTGGTCATGCAAATGGCTTTCCCCATCGTCTTTTCCCCTTCTCAGGGAACCATGGTTACATTTATAACCCGAGATGTTCTCTTACTTTCTACATACCTTCTGTGAGGTATTATTTTAACTTTGACTCGTTTACCCATTTTAAATAAGCTTTATCGTTACAATATTTTTTTTCTTGTGGTTTTCTAATAAACATGTATTGGATCAGTGTATTAGGTAGAGCTGTTTTTTATACGTCATGTAGTTAAATCTAGGCAAATAAGGTGAGGTGCTGCTTATGTAACAAGTACCTTATTGTTTACCAGAAATCACGTGATTTGTTTGAACAAGTAACCTATTTTCTCTGTAGCTCACATTTTCATTTGTAGTTGTTCCGGACCAGTTCAGTTTTTAAAGCAAGTTAGGTATGAACTAAATATGTCCTAAGATTTATAGAGATAATCACTATGAACTTTATCATTGAGAGGGTGAAGTTGTATGATTATATATGAGGCTGTTTGTGATGCTCTGAGTAAGAATTTGATCACCCTAATGCCTTCATAAGCAGTGTGTAATTTTTTTATTTTTTCAGTATATTGAGGCCAAGCTTGGATGGATTCCAGTCGCTGATCAACAGGTGATTTTATTTATTTTTTATTATTATTATTTTCTTCATGCTATTTGTTATATGTTATATTAATATATATTTAGTCTATATTAGATTTTTGGTGCAGGGTTGGGCAAGCTACTTGGAAAATGTAGTGAGCTCAGCTAGTAGTTACTCTACATTAAATGAAGCTTCACTATACTGTCGGCTACACAGGTCCGTGTATGGCGGTGGCTTCACTAACTGATCCAGGATCAGTGATCATTTGCAGTTGTATTTCCGATTTGAGCTTGAGCTTCAGAAATGCTTGGGAAAATGTAGCTTGTGTGGACGTTACCGCACTACTTGATCAACAAAAGAGCTTAGCTACTGAAAAGCTATTTGATTCAGAAAACAGTGATGCTACCATGCTATTGGGAAATGTAGTAGCTACGGCCCATCACTGTATCACATATTAGATGATTTACATTGAATCATGTGCATCCACAACCTTTATTTGTTCTTTGCCAAAGACATATTCATAAGATTTCATCTTTGTAACTTTATTAATTTGTTTCACTAAATAACCAATAAACTATTATGCTATTTAATGTTGCTTTATAAATGGTCCACTGGGGGTCAGAGCTATAAGAAGCTATAGCTATAAGGGGTTGTTTATTAGGGAGTGGAGTATGAGCCATATGGTGTCTGGTGTATTAACTGCCATATACTTATGCAAACAGCATTTAAAACTCATATTTTACATATTACATAAACCTTTTTTGGAGTTAACGCATTACGTGTTTGCAGATGTCACTTGGTTTGATATTTCGTAACTAATACATTTTGTGTATGTGCAAAAGTGTGATGTATGTGCAAAAGCGTGTTCAAATACTTTTTAAGGTGACTGTATATTGTCTTGTCTGATTTACCAAAACTGGTTAATGTTTATTTTTCTTCCCAGTCATATAATTATGGCTCAAGGTACAGATGATAATGTCATGGACACCTCTCCTGAATCATATGGAGATTCAGATTATGTAATGGACGCTTCTGCAGTTTCATATAAAAATTCAGATTATGTCAATCCTCCAGTGACACATCAATATACAGACGACATTATAGACAATCCTCATGAAACAGATCAAGAAGCAGATGATGTCTTGGCTCCTTCTCCAGCAACACATCAAACTCCAGATAATGTGATGGACAATCCTCCAGTGGCACATGATGAAAGATATACAGACAACTTGAATTATGACAATCATGACTCAGTTGTGACAGACTCAGCCACTAAAATAGAATTTTAGATGCAACCAACTCCAGTTCCTTTAATATCTCTTGATCAAGACCTTGGTGTAAACACTCCAGGAACCTCAAATAAAGCATGTGAAGAATACGAGGTAAATGTGATAGCACTCTTAAAATAAAGGCTTCAAAAGTGAATTTTCGCAGTGATGCCAGAGTATGAAGCGTGTAATTCAAAAAGAAAAGAAATGTCTTTTTAATGTCAGTGTTCTTGCTGAACTTTACACACACTACAGAGCCAGATGTACGTGGACACTCCATTCAAATTTACAGGTTTGGCTAGTTCAGCAGCTACGCCCCTTCTACAAAAGGCACAGATGTAGAATAAACATACAAGTGTGATGTTCAGATGTCCACATACTTTTGGCCACATTGCATAAATGCATGTAAATGTTTGCTCTTGCACAATTATGCAACCTTTAAATAATCATGGTAATTAGAAACAGATAATTTGATGTTCTTTCTCCAGGATAAAGTGAAGCCAGTAGAAGAATTGAGTAACCCGAAACTTGATGGTAATGCAAACATAGCTTCTTTGTACTTTGTACTTGATGAATGTATGATTTATCTCACAGCAACACAGTTAGCCCTAGGGTAGGCAGTTTCTTCCAGAATTTTTTTTGTTATAATGGTTGAAAGTCCACACAGCCAATAGCGAGAGGGCATGGCTGCTGTAGCAGGCTGACCAGAGGGTGATTAACCAGTGTAGAAAAAGTAAGGTGTCACTAGTGGCACAGAAACGGCCTACCCTATCTTTAAGAAATGCAACTACTATTTAAAAGTTTGGAATAATTGCAATTTTTTTTTACGTTTTTGAAAGAAGTCTTTTATGCTCACTAAGGCAGCATTACAGAATATTGTGAAACATTGTTACAATTTAAAATAACTGTTTCTTAATAATCTTAATTATTCCAAACTTTTGACTGGTAGTGTATATCATTGAGAAGCACTATCACATTATCTTATATTATGGTGCCGTTCTTATCTCTGGGTTTGAGAACAGTTCTTTGTTGTTTACTTTAGATCACAGGGATCCTGATTTGACTGTTGCATTATTTGGAAGTTCTGATGCTGTCCAGTTTGGATGTGACAACATTCTACTTGGAGAGAAACAACTCTATCTTAATGCAGAATTTCCCATGATCATTCCATTACAGAGGAAGATATCAGAACATTGTGTCTCAGTGATAAACATGATTGGCTCACATGAGACTGATCTCAAACCTCTCAATCATGTTATTGGTCAACTAGTGAATGAAAATGAAATCCATGCCTTCGTCTTTGTTGTGCAATTGGGCCAGTTAACAGATGTTGATAAGTTGAGTATTGAATGGCTACAGAGAATATTTGGTGACAGAGTTCTTTCATTTATGATTATTGTCTTCACCTATGAGAGAGAGGAAGAGTGTGACACTATAATAGATGACCTGAAGAACAGCTCTGTTCTGGAGCAGCTGCTGAAGAAATGTGGAGGAAGATATCATACCTGCAGCAAGATCATGAACAAAAAATCAGAGATGAGAGAACTGATGGACAGAATCAAGCGTCTGTTCACTGACAATAATCAGCAGTGCTACACCAGAGAGATGTACAGCTCTTTGAGAGACCCACAAAACAGTGAGTATCAAAGTGGTAACACAGAATCTATATTGATTTTTGTCTTACCAACTCCATTTTAACATTTTCTTTCAAGATTCAATTATAATGCTGCAATATAGAATCAAATATGGGGCAGTCGTGGCCTAATGGTTAGAGAGTCGGACTTGTAACCCAAAGGTTGCGGGTTTGAGTCTCGGTACTCAGCAGGGATTGTAGGTGGGGGGAGTAAATGACCAGTGCTCTCTTCTACCCTTAATACCACGACTGAGGTGAGACCCTTGAGCAACTTCTTTCCAAGGGTACTGCTCCCCAGGTGTGGTTGCCCACTGCTCCGGGTGTGTGTTCACAGTGTGTGAGTGTTTGTTCACTACTCACTGTTGTGTGTGTGTAATGGGTGAAATGCAGATCACAAATCCAGAGTATGGGTCAACATACTTGGCCACATGTCATGTCCTTTTCCTTTATTATAATTCATATGGAAGTTGTTAGTGGAATAATGTCTCTAAATTTTAAAGGGGTCATATGATGTTGCTAAAAAGAACATTATTTTGTGTATTTGGTGTAATGAAATGTGTTTATGTGGTTTAAGGTTAAAAAAACACATTATTTTATCCGCGGCCGACGGATTCGACGAAGGAGCAGCTGGCGGGCTTGCGGCAACCACATGTGACGACCCCAGGCTGGACTCCGCTTCGTCCACGGTGAAAGCCGATCCGGCGATCGACAGCGCGAAGTTGATGTATTTCCTCAGCAACCAGCACGGATCAGCTCCAGGCATGACGAAGCGGATATCGTTCTCTTTTGGAAGGCCAACCAAAGTAGTTTCGCTTTCACAACGAAACACACAGCGTCTTCACGACATGACGGCGACGGCAACAATACTACAGCGAGAATAAAAGTTATGCCTTCTTTCTTTGCGTGAACATTTGGGCGGCGTTATGCAAATCTTCCCACATCGTGACGTAGACATATGGGGGCGTGTTAGAACGAGCCGTTTTAGGTAGGCGTGGTTGACTCTTAACTTTTATAAAGAATATCTCTTTGGATTTGAGACTTTAGTCTTTGCAACTTTACAGATCCTCTTTATGCACCAAGAGCTTGCAACACTCCAAAGAGAAAGGAAAAGTTTAAATCGCATCATATGACCCCTTTAAATTCAACACGATCTCAATACTATTTGTAGCAGTGGTGTGCACAGACCTCCGCTTGGGCAGGGGCAAAATCACAGTTCCCCACAGTTGAAACCATGTTGGCCAGATCAGAGGGGCACTATAACATGACCAAAAGGGCACTTTAACATTAGTTTGAGCTACTACTCAGTTGGACACTAAGTGGCGCTATAATTTATGTTTTATTTCAGAACTCTGGAACCATAAGGGCTAGAGTAAAAATATATAAAAACAATTATAATTCACTGTGAGAAAATTTGTCCACGATTTTAACATTTTTGGAAAAAGAAAAAACATGTTTGTTAACTTCTTACAATTATACAAATATATATCTGCTAAACACAATGTCTAAACTTAATGTGATATTGCAAGATATGACTGAATGTACTGCTGTTCATAATTGCCACTTGTGCTTTTATTTTATTATGTCATTTGTTAATGGCTCAATCAACTTTGGTGTTTTTGAATCAGCATGCTTTAAAGAATTAACTCACAAGAGCTGAATTGGAACTTGAATCGGAAGTCTGATCGTGCTGTTCGTTTAAAATTCTTCAAAAAGAACTACCAAAGAATCTTTTCCTCTGTTTTCATAAAATCAAGGTGCAGAAATAGAAGTAAGCATCGGTGACACTATCACACAGCCTTTGGGGAGCTTGGACCTAACCGATAAAGGAGAAAAACAAAAGGTAAGAAATATATGCATAAATAATAGGCTTATTTTTTCATAAAGTTATTCATAGTTTTCATATTTTCACCTTGATCATAAGGGTAATCAATTTGTCATCTGGAGTAGGATTAGCGGCTCTAAAGTAATTGTCACTGTACATTTATCTGTGTTTTTTATATTGTTTAAAAATGGTTAGGTTTGAAGGTAGGAGTAAAGGATCTAAAACACATCTAAATATAGTCAAATTTTGATTTATGATATTGATGAAAACAGATTTATGTTTCTACAGCTGTAAATACGTTATAGTGTTAATGTTTTAGATGCTGTCAGTACAATGTTTGGTAAGTTTCAGTGTCTATTCAAATGTATAAATATGTTTGTTTTTGTACCTGCAAATGTTACATACAAATATGCATAGCCTAACAGTGAGATCAGGCTGCATATTTTATACTTGTCATATGTTCTAAATTTTATTAAATTATCAGAAAGTGTACAAATTAACATTCTTTTCCATGGCTTTTCAAACTTCTATTTACAAGTATTATGGTACTTTCAGCTAGGTCCAGAGCAACTCATTGACAGTATTCATCTTGAAGGAAAACATCAGAAACTGAGAACTGTAGATTTCCTTAAGCCAATTGTACAGTCCCAAGACTCTTGTGCAGAAGAGGAGCTGGCTTCAGTTTTTCTACAAAAATTGATGATGATGGACTACAGAGCAAGATACTTCCAGATAAAATAGAATAATGAACAACATCACACACAACAAAGGAACAATGACTCATCTGAAGATGATGCTGATGCCTTTGATACTATTTTTGGAGAAACTGCTAAACCCTCAGATGAAACAAACAAATTAGATGCGGTCCACTTAATGGATGTTCAGATGGCTGTGTTTCATTGTGCTGATAGTTTCCTAAAGCAGCTTATGGTGACTAAACTCTCACAGTGTCAGTATGCTCTGCCTCTGCTTGTACCCAGTCCATTCACACAACATATTGAGTTCCCACTCTGGACATTTCGACAAATTAACAAGAGCTGGAAGACAATTGATGATACAGGTAAAATCTCTAGCAAATTCCTGCCAGTCTACAAAGCAGAAACCCCAATGGTGGCTTTCTTCAGGTTTGGTCCTGCATCCTCATCCAAGTCTCAGCTGATGAACAGCCTGATCAATGAGAAACACAACACATTCTTCCACAGGAACTGCCCAGGCAGCAGCAGAACCAGAGTGCTGATGGACGGAGTGGTGGAGATCGATTGGTACTGCCCTTCTGGGGAGAAAACAGACAGATTTACTCATTGTGTTGCGTTCTGTAACCTCCATGGTGATGCAGGAGCCCATGAAAAGCAGCTGGATATCTTGACTAAAATGGCCTCTGTATATGTTGTTATTTTACCACAACTTAACAAGAATGACAAAAGCATGACCAAGATCCAAACCTTCTACAAGGACTCAAAGCCACTAATATGCATTCTTGCTGACAATGATTCGGCTCTGACAGAAATGCGGAAAGGGAAATACAAAATTGGTTTAAAAGACAGAAATCAGTCAGTTGTATTTGAGGAAATCAGAAGAGCTATAAATAATGGACTCTTGTCTACTGAATCATGTTCCTTCTTTAAACTTGAAGACATAGCCAAACACTCCAATATCAGAGTAGATGAGGTTGATGATGATGACTGCAGAAAAGGAAAAGAGGCAGCACAGCAGATGCTAAATTTACTGAAGGATAAAGATCTGACTGAAATCAAAGAATCATTCCTGCCATGTCAAGGAAACCTGTGGCATCAGTGGTGCCAGAAGAATAAAGAACTTCATCGACCTACATTAGGAGAACTACACAAAGAAAGCAACATTGAAAAGTACAAAAGTTCTAAAAAATCAGAAATGCAGAAAATCCGTGAACTGCAGCAAACATCTGACCTCAGTCAGTTTATCCAAATCTTTATTCAAAAACTGAATTCACAAGAAGGAAAAGCGGTGGTATATTTTCTGAAATGGCTGGGCATCCTGCTGGACGACTACACCAGTGAATGTCTTTCAGCCCTTCTTCATGAGTATGATGAAAAGTGGTCAACTGTCTTAAATCTTAAAAAGAAACATGATAAATCACAGCAGCTGACAGCTTCACAAGTAGAACTTGAGAAAGTATCTGAGAAACTACAAGCTGCAACCTTTGGCTTGGAGCACATACTGAGAGAGATCGGTCAGCTATATGAATCATGTTCATCTATGAAGAAGAACAAAAATGACCTGAAGTTGAACTTTTCTTCTTTTCCAAGTCTTGCAGCAGAGATGATGATCTCTGGATTTCCTCTGGAGCTGATGGATGGTGATGCTGCCCATGTTCCTCTGATCTGGGTTACTGCTGTTCTTGATGCACTCATCCAGAAACTGGGAGACAAGAAGGTCTATGTGTTGTCAGTTTTAGGGATTCAGAGCTCTGGGAAATCCACCATGCTGAACGCCATGTTTGGACTGCAGTTTGCCGTCAGTGCTGGCAGATGCACCAGAGGAGCTTTCATGCAGCTGGTCAGAGTGTCGGAGGAGATGAAAGCACAGCTAAAGTTTGACTATATGCTGGTCGTTGATACTGAGGGACTTCGTGCCCTAGAACTGGCTGGAAGGTCAACAAGAAATCATGACAATGAAATGGCCACATTTGTTGTTGGTCTTGGAAATATGACATTGATCAACATCTTTGGAGAAAACCCAGCTGAGATGCAGGACATTCTTCAGATTGTTGTTCAGGCCTTCATGAGGATGAAGAAGTTCAGACTGAATCCAAGCTGCATGTTTGTGCATCAGAACGTTTCAGATGTTACAGCTGGAGAGAAAAACATGGAGGGAAGGAGACGACTGCAGGAGAAACTGGATGAGATGACGAAACTTGCTGCTAAAGAGGAAGTTTGTGATACAGAGTTTTTCAGTGACGTCATTGCATTTGACGTTCAGAATGATGTGAAGTATTTTGCACAGCTCTGGGAAGGCAGCCCACCAATGGCACCACCGAACCCCGACTACAGCAGAAATATTCAGGAGCTGAAGGACACCATTCTCTCAAAAGCTTCTAAATCTAATGGCATTACACTGTCTCAGTTCAGAATGCGTATTAATGATCTGTGGAGTGTACTGCTGAATGAAAACTTCGTGTTCAGCTTCAAAAACACACTTGAGATTGCGGTATACAGAAAACTGGAAACTATGTACAGTGACTGGACGTGGAGCCTCAGGAGTGCCATGTTGAGTGTTGAAGACAAATTCTACAACAGAATTGACAATGGGAACATTAAGGTTCAGGAGCATGAGTTGTTGGCTGACATGAAGAATACAAAAAAGCAGGTAGAAAAATCTATGATATCTTACTTTGAGGAGGACAAAGACAAAGACATTCTGTGTCAGTGGCGAGGAAGATTTGAAACCAGAATCGAAGAGCTTCATGATGACCTTGTGAAGGGAACAAAACGAAAGTTGGATGAAGCCATTGAACAGAAAAAAGCAAGGGAGAAGGTGGATAAAAAACGGACAGAGTATGAAAACAAGCTTTTCAGTCGGAGCAAGGAATTAGCTTTCAGTCTCAGAAGTACAGGAACAGATGAATACATGCTGAACGAGGAGTTTGACACAATGTGGAGTAAATGGGTCACTGAAATGACGGAAGACTCTCCTCCACTGATAGACTTCAACTTTTGGGACGATGTGATAAAGATCTTATCCAAACACTATGAATTGTCTCTTGTATAGGAGCGATTAAACCAGACCAACTTCAAACTAATAGACTACCAGAGTGGTTATTGTGACTACATTACGCTAAAGCATCGAGAGCACTCTAATGACACTGTATTTTCAGAGGAAGCTGGCAAACGCTCTAAGAAAAGCAAGAAAGAGGTATGAAAGAAGATTATGATGTTTCCAGCTCAAATGTTAATGTCAGGGATAGAATATGTTAAAGGGACTCAAAAGCAACCAGAGAACATGGACCTAAATGCTGAATGTCATTACTCGATAAGGGATCTGACTGATAAAATTACTGAGAAAACTGAGATGATAATGGAGAAAGCACTAGTTGGAAAATCAGGCTACAATGCTAGCTACATTCAGGAAATAACAGACTGTGTTAAAAAGTCAGTAAAGCAACATGAATCTGTGGGCCAAAAATACAAACTGAAAAAGGAGTTTACCATAGATCTCATTCTCTACATGTGTGACATTGCAAGACAGACTTTCACTGAACTCCACAAAGAATTTATAGAAGCAAACGACCCAATAATTAATTTTGGGAAGCAGAAATCTCAGTATTGGAACATGTTCAAGAACTTCTACAAAGGAGCTACAACAACAACAAACATACTGAGTGAATTCATCTGCAGCAAACTTGAGCCATCCATCCTCCAAGCAGTTTACAACAAAACGGCTATTGATTTAGCTGCACGTATGAGGTCTGACATACAAGCATTACGTGAGAACAGACCAAATCTAGAGAAACACTGTGGTGGTAGTAATAGACAAGTTCTCGAGATGGATAGAAGCTTATCCAAGAGGGCGTGCTACAGCTGCACATACTGCTAAATGTATGTATGAAACATATCCCAACGTCTCCTGGTCTCTGCTTCGACGAGGAAAAAGTTTCCAACAACACATTCTGAGATCCCTTGCAGAAAAGGAAGACTTTGATCAGTACATAGAATACATTCATAATCCGAGAAGACACTTTAAACAATTCATAAAGAATGAAGTGGACAGATACTACACTGAACAAAACAACATGATTCTAAAAATGTTCAAAGGAAATCTAAGAGAAAAACAGCAGATTGTAAGTAATGCAGTCAAAGCAGCAACAGCGGAGGTCAAGAGTCAGAGTGGAGACGGCAACATGTGGTTCAGATGCTTCACCACAGCCCTGACAGATGAGCTGAAACTCACAGAAAGCTCATGTGGTGATCTTAGTGAAATTGAAGACTTGGATTTTCTTGACAAAGTTTTAGGTGACAGTCTAAAGGAGAGGATGACAAAACTACAGGACAGTTTTGCAAGCATTAATAACATAAAAATAAAAATGTGCAGGAAAACCCCAGATGAGATTTTAATTGACCACTTCTGTCAGTGCTGTTGGGTTCAGTGTCCTTTCTGTAAAGCCATCTGCACCAATGCAATGAAAGGCCATCCTGGAGATCACTGCGTTCCTTTCCACCGCAATAACGGACTGAATGGATGGCATTACAGAGGAACAACAAATTTGGCTACTGATTTCTGTACAACTGAAGTAGCGAGTGACAACTTTTTTCACCCAAATTCCTCAGATTATAAAATCCCCTTTAAAAAATACAGAAAAGGAGGCCGTAAATATGCTAAGTGGAGCATCACGCCTGACCACTCTGAGCTGCCGTACTGGAAGTGGTTTGTGTGCAGATTCCAAGATGATCTGGAAACATACCACAGTATGACATTCCAGGGAAATGGTGAGATTCCATATGAATGGAAAAGGTACACAAAAAAGGAAGCTCTGGAGAGTTTGGATAATTACATGTAATGAAAAAGTAAACAAATGATTCCAAGATGATCTGGAAACATACCACAGTATGACATTCCAGGGAAATGGTGAGATTCCATATGAATGGAAAAGGTACACAAAAAAGGAAGCTCTGGAGAGTTTGGATAATTACATGTAATGAAAAAGTAAACAAATGGCATTCTGTCAGCTCCCTGTTTACAGATGATATTTTGACATCTTGTTTCACACAGTAATGTTTATGAAGTTCTGAACATAGATGCAGATTTTTTTTTTTTCTGGCAAGGTTTATATGAATACTGTTATATTTTGCTGTGAACACTGCTGAGCTTTTTATTTACTGTAGATACATTGATTGACACTATAAAATAATAGAGAGACAAACATGTGACTGTTAAAGCCAGTGGGAAATGTTTAATTATTTGTTTTGTTTATCAGAGATAAAAAAGCACCATGACTTGTTAATCACTTTAATCTTTTGAAGGCACTTATAATAAAACATTTTTGATTTGTACTCATGGTTATTATAGACATATTGTAGGTTTACAGGTTTTATTAAATTGTGTGATGATGTAAATTCTGAATAAAGCTGAGTGAATTAAATAAAATCTTTTTTCTTTCTTTCTTTTTTCACATATACACAATACATACATAATACCTATGCGTCACTGAGGTATGTGAAGTAAAGTATGTAAAAAAGTTCTATAATGTGAATAAGTTTATGTGCATATTTGCTTTAACAGTGACAGACAACATGTAAACAGAGCAAGATAACTTGTTTAATGGAACATACACATTTTAATAAACTTTCAACTGCAAAGCGATATTTTTAAACTCAACAGTATTTAAGGTTAAGAAAAAAAGCCTGTTGCTCTATATGCATTCTGCATGTGCAGGACTTACTTGTCAGCAGCTCTTAACCCTCATGTGGTGTTCGGGTCCTTTTTGCTTGGCAAAAAATTTTTTTTCCCGAAAATACTAGTTAATGTTATCGCATTGGACTGAAATTTAGTGACTTTGTTCACAAAGGGTATAACTACTTCTAAAAAAAAAATTTGATCATTTTCATACTTTTTTGGGGGAGATTTTTCACTTTGTTACACTTGTGGTGTTCCTAGGCAAAAATGACCCGGCCTCAAAAAAATTCAAAGTCACACTTGTGGTGTTCCCGGTCAAAAATGTCCAGCCATTCAAAGTGAATGGGAAAGAATGACAGTAATAGAAACTATTAGTGTTCAGGAGCATGTTGATCATTTTCACGTTCACATATGTACGTGTGGCATCCAATATCATTTCATCAATCTGATAGTATAACTCTCTTTCTTTCTCTCTCTCTCTCTCACTCACCCACACCCACACCCACACACACACACACACACACACACGAACTGGCTTCACCCTGCTTCAAAAGAATCTTTCTTTCATCTTCTTTCTTTCATCACACCTTCTAAACAAAATATTATGACAATAGGTATTGAGGCTTTCCTGTTCTCACAAAGCAGACAAAAGTTTACTAAAAAATGATTTAGCACAAAGACAGAGCATATAAATATTGTTGAACCATGAAATGTTCTCGATATGGCAGTGCAGTTTTTTCATGTCACAATGGTCAGATTTGTTGTTGCATGACATTGTCTCTGTATGACAGTGTCGGTGTTATTTTTTTGTGACAGTATAAATATTGGTTTGTTGTTCCATGAAATGTTCCTCTGTAGGTGTGTTTTGTTTAGCTTTTGCAATAAACTCAATAATATGGAGCCAGAATGATCTCAATAATAATTCACGCAAAAGACGCGATGCACACATGCGTAACCCAATTCACATGCATAAGAAATATTTCACGTGCACAAAAAAAAAATATATATTCACAAAAACCAATGCACGTGCACAAAATAAGAATATATATTCATAAAATACGTTTCACAAATGCAAAACACAATTCACAGATGTACAACTGTGTACAACATTTTTGAATGTTAAAAATTCACAAGTTTATCATGGGTTGTGAATGTGAATCGCCTTGGATTTGTGTGTGAATTTTGAGACCTTCCTGGCAGCGAACTCCTCCCACGCGAGACACTCGTACTCTTTAGCCAATCAGATTTGACCCTGTCTGTCGACCAATCATAACCCACTGTGTGCCTACCTGGATGCTGACGTCATCAGCGCGAGACCACCGTTCCAGTTATGATTTAGCAGAGGTAAGTGCAGTTGATCGTTTTATTTCAGTTAACTAGCCAAGTAAAGGTTTATCGTTTTATTTTTAAAACTGGGAAGTTAAATCGGTCGTTTAGACACTCAAAAATGTGAATAATGTAATCCAGAGGCTGCTATGAATACAGATCGTGTTCCCAAAAATGCAGCTGTCTTGTGCTAGCCACAATGTCTGGCCAAAATGAAGAAAGGGATTATACTCATTGCCGTTTTTGTTCACCAACACTGGGTGGCCAATGTCCAGCCTAGCTGCCTCTTAGACTAACCCTGCCCTCATAACCATAGCTTTATAATGATGAATAGACCTCAGTGTATGAACAACGGGATATTTGTACTTACCATTTGTGCAACAGGATGCAGTGTTCAGTTAATACACACTAATTAGAGGAATAATCTAATAATGATCTGTTTTAATGCACAAGGTAATTTGATTAGCTGTGCTGATAATATACAGTTTTATTCTATCTTACCTTTTAAAAGTTTGTCACAGCGGTCTCTTCTGCTGCATCTCTACGGCGCTGATAGTATTAGCGCTAACTTCCGGGAACTATTGAGCAGCTCCACAATCCGCCATTGCTGTAAAAAACTGGTCCATTGGAGTGAATGGAGTTGTCACAACTCTCTCTCTCTACGGCTCTAATACACACTAATTGTTTTCCTTGATTTTTCAGGATTTAAACACTTTGGCACAACATCTGGATGACAGTTACAGGCGTCTTCATTCACATTAATCTCTATTTCTTTCATGTACATCACTTTATGTATTCATTTCTTAATGTAATCAACATTCATTTACTTTTCATATTATATTACTGTGATTAACCATTGCTAATGTTATTCTTATGTTGTGTTGTGTATTGTAATCTCATAGATTTTTACATCACAAGACGATTTTGGTAAGCAGCAGTTGTATGTGCTTGGTAACAGTTGTGGAATGCATGCTGGTCAGACAAAGACTGATCATAAAGAAGAATGCAACAAAGATTATTCAGTTATTTTATCACTTTATCTCATGCTTTCTGCTCTTTCTGTATCTGCATCTCTTGTAAAAATATAAGAGTTAACATGCCAAGGTGTTAACTGCTTTGAATATCAGACCAAAACCTGGCACGTCCTGACAGAGAGAGATAGTGAAAGACTGGATCTTAAACATTTGATTAATTGACTTCACATGATGTATTACACTGATACAATTATCATTCAGCTATAAAATTTACTTGAAAAGAATGCTAAATACTCTAAATGAGACACTATACCAGCCATTCAATGTAACTGAGGTTTAAATACTGGTGAACTTCTAGCACAGCGTCAAACTGGTATCAAGCCAATCTCAGACCTATGCGAGAGACATATATTCAACTGTGCTACGTTTGTACTCCATAATTGTCAATTAATATTTTATGTTACAGGCACATTGCAATTAATCATGGTCAGGTCATTTCATGGACATTTTATTCCCAAAGTATTCAGAAAACTTGAATAAACTTTAATAAATTAATAAATCTTATACAGCAACTGTAACAACTGACTTGTTTTGAATGTTTTAATTCTGACATAAAACCAGAACAATAACAAGAACATTTAACAATGCATAAAGCTTTACACCTTGAACATGTACAAAGTTATGGGGTCCTGTTACAAACAAAACAAAAAATGTAGTAATAGTGCATGACTTAAAAAGCTGTTGAAACTGTCAATGCTGGTAATGCAATGTTTGATTTTAAAATGGGTTTCAAAGGATGAATTTCGAGATTTTAAGTTTTCAACTGATATACAATTTCTGATGATTTCTAAAGTGTGATCGAGAAAAAGGCAACGAGGAAGACTTTTTCTGACTCCTGTTATGATGTGGATTTTTGAGGTGCACTCTTGTCATAAATTAATCTATTACTTTTCCTACATAATTTGTAACAAAGAAACAGTGGTAAAATATCAAGGAGTCTTAGACCTTTCCAACGATATATAGTTTGTCATGATTAGCTTAGGATTTATTTGTAATATAGTGAAGTAAACTTAGGCGTCCCTCTGAAGGGACGGGTGACAGTTAAGGTTTCAAAGGATGAATTTTGAGATTTAAAGTTTTCAATTGATATATAATTTCTGATGATTTCTAAAGTATGATAGAGAAAAAGGCAACAAAGAAGACTTTTTTTTTTGACAAAGGTCAGAACTCCTGTTATGATGTAGGACTTTAGTCTTTGCAACTTCAGGGATCTTATCTATGCACAGCTTGTAACACTCCAAAGAGAAAGGAAAACTTGAAATCGCATCATATGACGACCCCTTTAAATAAGTTTAAGTTTTTGTATATTTTTTTTCAGTTAACATGTATTTTATTTCAAAATGTTATGTTTATTTAAAAAAAAAAAAGTTAAGTATAATAACCCTGATTGCATCCATCATTTCTGTGATAGCTTCCTCACTGAGTGGAAACAAGGACTCCATCTACAGTCTGGCCATGAATCAGACAGGAACTGTGATCATCTCAGGATCTACAGAGAAGGTTAGTCTCACAGTTTTGTGGTTTTAGGTTTCAAGGAAGGAAAATTGTAATTTCAACTGCAGGTTCAAATAAAAAGGTTTTGATTGTTGGAAATTTTTTGTGTAATTTTTAAATATTTTGTCAGGTCCTGAGGGTCTGGGATCCACGGACATGTGCTAAGCTAATGAAGCTGAAAGGCCACTCTGACAACGTAAAATCATTATTGTTAAACAGAGACGGCACTCAGGTAGGACTTCAACACAGCTCCAGAAATAATTGCAAATTTTGTATATCACATGTGCATGACATCCCAAACTATGAGAAAATATCTTTGGAATCCGGCTTTTCGAACTGAGATGCAAAAAATCTTATTTTATTATGAATGTGATTTGGATAAGGTTTGTAAACATCAGCTTTCGTCTGTTTTTTTTTTTTTTGCTTTTCAAACAGCTAAATAGATTTACTTCAGATATGCCAGAAAATCTGATATTTTTTTACCTGTCTGAGCACAGCCATAGTTACTCTAACTTTGAGGTTTTTCATCAAATACACATGTTAAACCTGCATTGTTTCTCTGTCTAGTGTCTCTCTGGCAGCTCAGATGGTACGATACGCTTGTGGTCTCTCGGTCAGCAGAGATGCATCGCCACATACCGGGTCCACGATGGGGGCGTGTGGGCCCTGCAGGTGAACGAGGCCTTCACGCACATCTACTCTGGCGGACGTGACCGAAAAATCTACTGTACGGATCTGCGTAACCCTGACTTGCGTGTGCTCGTATGTGAA